TACGTATGTTGCCCTTGCCCCCCCTCCCCCCCAAGTCTGAGTTTCAAATATGTCCATTCTTCGGGTGGTGCGCATTGCACTCTTTGTGTATGCATATGCCCGTCCCCTCCTCCCTCCTCCCCCCTCCCTCCTGTCCAACATCCAATAGATGTTATTCTTATATGTGCACTTACGTGGATTTTGTTTTTAATCTAGTATGAGAATCTTTGACTTCTGACTGTCCTGCATGGAAATTGTTGGACTTCCTGAATATGTGGATTGATGTCTTTCATCAGCTGAGAAAAATTCTCAGCCAAAAATTGCCTATTTGATTCTCTCTTCTACCTTTTTTAAATTTTTTTTTGAGACAGAGTCTTGCGTTGTCACTCCAGCTAGAGTGCAGTGCCATCATCATAACTCACTGCAACCTCAAACTCCTGGGCTCAGATGATCCTCCTGCCTCAGCCTCCTGAGTAGCTGGAATTACAGGCAAATGTCACCACACCCAGCTAATTTTTTCTATTTTTAGTAAAGATCGGGTCTCACTCTTGTTCAGGCTGGTCTTGAACTCCAGAGCTCAAGCAGTCCTCCCGCCTTGGCCTCCCATAGCGCTAGGATTACAGGCATGAGCCTCTGCGACCAGCCCCTTCTACCTTGTGAAACTCAAATTAGACAGTCATTCTCACTTTATCTTCTGTCTCTTAATTTTTATATATGTTTTTATTGCTTTGTAATTTATTCTGGAAAATTCTGGTTCACTCTAGCTATGTGTAATTTGCTATGAAGTTCGTCTACTGAGGTTTTTATTCCAATTTGTTTTCCATTTTTAGAGGTTTGGTTTAGTTCTTTTTTTCTCTCTCTCTTTGGGAGCTACTTTTTATGATCTTCGTTTACTGTGCCACCCCTTCTTTATTTTCTATACCTTATGATAACAATACTTAAAATCTTTGTTGATTTGGGCTATATTTTTCTTGTAGCTCTTATTTATGGTCCCTTGTTTCTTCTTTTTTTTAATCTATGTATAATTGCGTCTTCTTTAGAACTTTGTGGAAAATCTTTGAGTCCTGGGTTAAAGATGTTTTCAACAGGTAAAACATTTGGTTCTTTAGATATTAGGGCATTACTTAATCTAGAACGACTTTAAACACTAGGTCAAGGTTTGTTTCAGTGTTATAGTGCTGTATATTCAACAACAAAAAAAAACACCAATGAAGCCTTGCTTATTGTCATGGATATTAAGGGAAGATTTCTCCATTCTACCTCTTCTCAACACCGTGGCACTGAGAATATTTTAAATGTTTTAAAATATATTTGTTGGCCAGGCACAGCGGCTCATGCCTATATCATAGCACTCTGGGAGGCCAAGGCTGGAGAAATCTCTTGAGCTCAGGAGTTCGAGACCAGCCTGAACCAAGAGCTATATCCCATCTCTACAAAAACAAAAAATTAGCCAGGTGTGGTGGCACCTGCCTGTAGTCCCAGCTACTCAGGAGACTGAGGTGGGAAGATCACCTGAGCCCAGGAGTTTGAGGGTGCAGTGAGCTATGATGATGCCAGTGCATTCTAGCTGGGGTGACAGAGGGAGACTGTGTTGTGAAAAAAGAAAATATATGTGTAAGTGGGTCAATCAGGGTATCTTAGTCTGCCTTACTCTTGCAAGTAAAGTTCCTATCATAATTTTTCCATTTATGATAATTGTCCATTTCAGGATGAGGGGAGGATTTTGAAAATTCTTAAATTGTGGTTTAAAAAACATAAAGTTTATCCTCTTAACTATTTTTTTCCTTTTATTTTTAGTTGACATGTAATAATCGTACATATTTATGGGGTACAGAATGGTATTTTGATACCTGTCTGCAATATGTAATGATCAAATGAAGGTAATTAGGATATCTCTCACCTCAAACATTTGTCATTTCTTTGTGTTTGGAGCACTCAAAATCCTCTCCTCTAGCATTTTGAACATAATGCAATAGATTACTGTTAGCCATATTTACCCTACAGTGCTGTAGAATGCTATAACTCATTCCTATCTGCCTGTAATTTTGTGTCTATTAACCAACCTCTCCCTGTCCTCCCCCCACTCACTCTTTCCAGCCTTTGATAACCATAAGCCTACTCCCTATTTCTATGAGCTCAGTTTTTTTAGCACCCACATATGAGTGAGAACATGTAGTATAATATTTATCTTTCTGTGCTTGACTAATTTCATTTAACATAATGTCCTCCAAGCTTCATTCATATTGCCACAAATGGAAAGATTTCATTCTTTTGTTATGACCAAATAGTATTCCGTTGTGTATGTATGGTATATATACCACATTTTCTTTATCCATTCATCTGTTGGTGGACATTTAGGTTGATTTATGTCTTAGCTATTGTGAATAATGCTGCAGTAAACATTGGTGGTTTAGATATCTCTTTAATATGCTGATTTCCTTTCTTTTGGCTAAATACCCAATAGTGGGATTTCTGGATCACATGGTAGTTCTATTTTTAGTTTTTTGAGAATATTCCATACTGTTTTCCATAATGACTATGCTAATTTACATTCCTACCAGCAGTATATAAGAGTTCCTTAACAATTTCTTAAGTATACAGTTCATCGGGTGGTGCGCATTGCACTCTTTGTGTATGCATATGCCCGTCCCCTCCTCCCTCCTCCCCCCTCCCTCCTGTCCAACATCCAATAGATGTTATTCTTATATGTGCACTTACGTGGATTTTGTTTTTAATCTAGTATGAGAATCTTTGACTTCTGACTGTCCTGCATGGAAATTGTTGGACTTCCTGAATATGTGGATTGATGTCTTTCATCAGCTGAGAAAAATTCTCAGCCAAAAATTGCCTATTTGATTCTCTCTTCTACCTTTTTTAAATTTTTTTTTGAGACAGAGTCTTGCGTTGTCACTCCAGCTAGAGTGCAGTGCCATCATCATAACTCACTGCAACCTCAAACT